TGTGTCTGGGTGGATAGGTGGGTGGGTGGATGGGTGTGTGTGTGGATAGGTGGGTGGATGGATAAGAATGGTTGATTGAAAGGTAGACAGATGGCAAATAGATAGTTAGGGGACCTATAGACAGATGTGTGTGGGTTGTAGGTGAGTGGGTGGGTGGATAGGAAGATGGGTGGGTGGACAGATGGATGGCATGTGCTTACGGATGGATGAGTGGTGGGTGTCTATATGAATGTATGACTGGATAGATGGATGTGTGTGTGAGAGGGAGCTGGGCAGGTGTGAGTCAGCTTATTCACTTGTGCAGTGGGGACGCTGAGGTCCCGTGGTAGTTACATAATTTCATGTCAACTTTGATAAGTAAGTGAAGGGATGGAGTCTGGCCTGTCAATCGGGTCACAGCCTGAGGATGCCTCCTGGTGGGCGTGGCCTTCCCATGAGGATTCTGGGAACTTCCTCTCTTTCTCCCTGGAGGTGGGCCACCCTCTCGCTCTGCTTCCCCTGCCTGTGGAGAAGCCACACGCAGAGAGCTGGAGGAACCACGTGGAGACCTGCACCTGAGCTGAGATGCTTCCACCATCACTGGATCCACAAGGCTTTTCACCCACCGGCCTGTGAGCTTCCTGCACTCAGCATCACTGCATGCACTGCGTGAGTCTGAAGAGGAATTTATGGACTGGTAGCGGACACATGGGCTCATATTGGACTTATGGACTTGATCTGGACTGGGCTGGGATGTTTTCTCACTATTCAATCGCTCTTTGATACACAGGTCTTTTGCATACATATATGAGTTTGCCTAGATGTGTTGAAGGGGGCTGGGCGGGCTTCACAGACCGCCTCCTTCCCCGTGGAGGACCCTGGGCTTGGAGATGGGGAGACCCCAGGCCTGGTGATGGGTGTTTTGGCCCCTGACTTCCCAGGTCTCTGAGAATAGACTTAATCAGGGCAACTCAGCCTGTGGTAACAGGCTCGGGCTGCCCCCAGAGGTGTCTAGGCTGCAGTCTTTATGCACAGAACACCCCGGGCCCTCCGGGTGGGTCCCACCACCAGCCACTCATCCAGGGCATTGGCCATGTGGTCTGGGGCTGGCTCTGGGTTGGCACCACTGGGTGGCACATTGTCATCCTGGCCATAGCAGCCATGGGACAACAGGGCTGGCCACGCACACAGCCCTCGTCCCCATCACATCCTCCCCGGGGGAGTCTGGCAGAGCCTCCTCCTGACCGCCCGCTGTCGGCCCTGTACGGTGGCCCAGGGCTTGTCACACCTGGCCAGGCCACAGGGGCACTGCTCAGAGCAGGCCTCTCCCAGCCCAAGCCCCCTGGATCTCGTAGTCAGCGACAGCCCCTCCCCACTCCATGCACTGGTGGGCGGCTCTGCTCCTCCCTGGCTGCCTCCGCTCAGCCACTCTGCGCCCTTGCTCACCCTCTGGGACTCTGGCACTAACCCTCCATGCCCCCACCTTCTTAGACTCACCGATGTGATCAGGGGCTGCCTCTCCCTGGCCCCACTGGCTCACTGTCAGGGTGGGATGTGGTATAATCTCCCCTCTCACGGATGTGTCCGCTCAGTGAGGGACAGAGGGAGAACTAGGGACACGGGGACTCGTCCCCATGCCACTGTCCACTGTCACCGCACCTCACAATCTTAGCAAAGACACTCTTCCCCCTAAAAAAGCCTCTGGATGTCCCACACCCCCACAAGACTTGACCTTGCCCTTCACCACCTCCATGGAGCATCCCAGGGGCCCCTGAGCGTGGGAAGCTGTGGACAGACCACTGGGTCCCTGATGGCATTAGAGGTTGC